TTAATGTACTGTTTAGTTTGGTACTTTTAGTTTTACTACTTTGCCTCTGTAGCTGCCAAAATTACTCGACCAGGAAATTGGCAGCCTGCCCGTTCTTTGTTTACACAAATACGCATATGTCATCACCAATTACCGATTTACTGTTAACAAGCTTTCACGATTGGGTATTTTTGCTGCTACTTAAATGTATTTATCTGCATTGTTTCGTTATTTTTCTGGACATTTTGTTTTAGATCAACTCAATTTCTTGCATAATCAATGCTGATTTATAATCAGAAATACTTTCGTTTTCCTGCAAGTATGGAAATCTCTTGGTATAATTATATCAGTATATCACTCATAGTGATATGTGATAGCTAAATGAGGAAATTTTAGGAGAACCTTACTTCAAAGAAACTAGTAATGGAATTTCGAAACGATCTTAGGATCCATTAGGGGGGGTACCAATGGCATAGAATGGAGAAGAATGGCATAAAAATCATCAAATGGCATAGAAATTTCATGGCATAAATGGAAATTTTGTTTGGCCAATTCTCCATTTATGCCAATTTATGCCATGAATTTAGGTCTTCATATTTGACCTTTAGGATGACTTTAAATTCGCAAATATTATTAGTACTTGAATAAGAGACATGTTTCATGCTTTATAACGCTTGGAATGATCGTTAAAGTCAAAGATTCATATGACAAATAAAGAAAATAGAAATGTATTATATCAAATATGTACCAAACATTTCACTATTCAAGAAAAGCAAATTGTGAGATGTTCAAAATGTACAGAATACAAACATTGACAACACAACGATTTTGAATGTCATCAAGGAACAATGCATCTGATGTATTTGTCTTCGACGAGTAGCCAAACATTAGGAGATCCATTGATTAGGCTATGTTCCTGGCAGTAGTACTTCATCGGGCATGACTTATAAGAAATAAATCTAACCACTCCTGTTGCAAAGTCCTGCTGAGATTTGAAGACTTTAAGAGTTTCTGTACTGCCAGCTTTCAAAACTGTTGAACATCCGCATTCAGGTTGATTGTATAAGCGAACATCAGAAGACACTCCAAACGCGTCCCCCTTGAATCTTGAAAGACGAGATTTTGTTGATAAAGTGCTTCTTCCTCCATTGAGCGTGAGTGTCTCAAAATACCGGAAGGAAAGTGTTCCATACTTATCTGTTGATATCGTTTCTCCATCATCACAATCATCAACTCCAGGTTCTACCTCATAAGCTAAGTCGTCCTCATCCTCGAGGCATCCAGCTTCGTCATCTACAGCTTCCCAAGAAAGTTCTTGGCCATGGACGATTGGCTTCCCACTCCGTTCTTCAGGATCTGCGACTGCGGCGAACACAGGGAAATTGTTTCTTTTCCCTTCTCGAATGCAGTCCCTCGATGCCCTGTCCAGCGTTTTTGCCAACTTGCCTAGGCTTATCATACCACCAGTCCATTTCACTCGTTCTGCTTTCTGGCCTGCAGATTTAACCTTTTTGAGGTGAACTGTAGGATGCAAATTGCAAAACTGTACTTCACGTGCATGTGCAATTGCAGATGTGTCTTCATGTAATGATAAAGCACTGTACACATTCTTTCTCTCCATTCCATGGGCCATAGTTATCGCATCCATATTTCTTGAGCGACCAGATGAAAAAGAAACCCGAATAAATGCAAACAGCTGCTCATTCTGATCACTTCCAAGGTAATAAGTGACGATTTCAGCATTAGGGAATTGCTTCTTCAGCAGAGTTAAATACAAAACAAGACCGTCACAAGTACATGTAAGATTAAGGTACGTCTGATTCGTTATGCTGACAGTTGAGTAAGTTTTCTCTTTCCAAGTAACGAAAAATGTTTTTTCTCAAACAGTTCCATTTTAATATTATACTTTATAGTTTAGAGTCTAATTTGGCATGATATCAGATCATGTGATATTACATGGCCCCATGGAGAACATTGCCAGAGCAATTGGCCAGGGAGCTCCATAGAAGTAAGGGGCCTACTCTAGCCAACAGCTCTAATACATTTCCTTCCTCAACTTCATTTTCTTCATTTAACTGCTGCTGCTGCTCAGCAACTACTTGATAGCTGGCACAGTGACAATTGTCTGCGTAGTGTATCTGTTAGCCTCAATTTTGCCTCAAGGAGGGAAGGTAGCCTCAATCCAACCTCAAATAAGTTTCAATAAAGTCTCAATAACCTTCGGGCTACAATTACAAGTTTTATAGTGGGTCTATAACATGTTTCCGTACATTAAAGTTAAAACTTAAAATGCGGTCGAATCATTTATTAGCCTCATTTTGGCCTTCTACAAGAAGACTCTGCGATTTCTGAAATGTTGAGCTTGAAGAGGATGAATAAATTTTTATTGTTGACACATTAGATAGTCACAATACCGAACATGCTCGAAAATATACACAAAAGTATACTTGTTAGCCTCATTTCACCCTCTCACAAGGTGGTTAGCCTCATTTTCACCTCGAAAATTTGAAGCTTAAATACCGATTAAATATAATCCCAAGGAATTTCATGTGCAACATGGATATCAAGTAACGTGTGAGCTGTTAACCTGTTTCCGTACATTAAAGTTAAAATGCGGTCGAAATATTTATTAGCCTCATTTTGGCCTCCTACAAGTAGACTCGGCGATTTCTGAAATGTTGAGTTTGAAGAGGATGAATCAATCTTTATTGTTGACATATTAGATAGTCACAATACCGAACCAACTCGAAAATATACACAAAAGTATATGTTAGCCTCATTTCACCCTCTCAAAAGGTGGTTAGCCTCATTTTCACCTCGAATATTTAAAGCTTAGATCTCGATCAAGTATAATCACTATGGATTATACTTGCAACTTGGATATCATGGACGTAACATGAGAAAGTTCTTTTTTGAAAGTGGTGAGGCTAATTTGTTAGCCTCAATTGTCCCTCGCAGTTAAATCACTCTTACTGAGTCTAGTGAGTGATCTAGGAGGTCGCCGAACATCTCATTTTAAAGCCGTATCGATTTTCTATACGCATTCCAAAAATGAAATGCGTAACTAAAACTCTAAAACAGAAATGAAATTACAGAAGTTTTAAATTTTTTGTCAAAAAACGAACTTTTAGAGGCGTTTCTAATGACCAGGGTCAGTACAATAAATAGAGATAAAGGTGGACAGTACTAGTGGGGTGCAGACTATTCGTTATTAAATTCTCAGTTCAAAGTTTTAAAATTTCATATTTCGAATGGCATAGAATGGAGAAGAATGGCATAAAAATCATCAAATGGCATAGAAATTTCATGGCATAAATGGAAATTTTGTTTGGCCAATTCTCCATTATGCCATTTATGCCATTGGTACCCCCCCATCCATTACACATTATTTACGTAATGTTTACGTGATCTGTTCAATTTTCAATGAATGAGTACGAATATGTCAGTTTTATAAAATAAAGTTTCCGTATTTCATTAGCCAATCGGATACAATTATTAGCGTTAAATTATGATTACCTAACTACCAGATGATCGAATAGTTTCGCGACATTAATGATTTAACATCTGCAGTGACGGGAAAGAATTATTGATATACGTTATATAAGTTATATAACTATACGTTACCAATATAACTTATATAAGTTATAACCACTCTTAAAAATCTTATCTCACAGATGATGGTGATACTAATATCGAATATCCGCTGATACAAAGCCTTGCTGTAGATGAATACCCGATAAATCCGTCTCCACGTTAGCCTTAGGTTTATCTCCAGCCAGCCATGCTGATGTAATTTCAGATGTTGCTCCTCCGAGACCTCCCTCCAGAGATTACCCTAAAAATCCTCTGTTTCCTCAGACTACCACAGATCCTGGAGCTCAGTCGAGTTTCACTCTACTTCAGAGCAGTTTGCCATGAGAGGTTTGTCTGGCGGATGCTAGCTCGACGGGACTATGGCGTGGTCATCCCAGACTCGAACCCTCAGGAAGTGTACCGACATTTCTATCACAAATACCGCAAGTTGGTCGGGGTTTACCGACTGTACTCCTTTTTCAGTAAACACTTACTCCAGATCCGAGTAGACGCGGAGAACTGCCGACAGTTACTGTTGAAGACCTGGCCTCTGGAGGTGGAGGGAGAGGGTGCGAAGAAGGGGAGAGATGTTATGAGGATTTGTTATCAAGGTAATGGCACTGTCGTGGGACAATGTTTAGAAGACCAAGAGGAGGACAAGATATTTTGTTTTAATGATCATTTGGGAGGAGAGAAACATCATTTTACATTTCACTTCTGTAAGAACAACCTGTTTTTCAACCCTCTCAAAGGTGACCACGATTTCATGATCACGTTTTGTCCGAAAAACAGGTGTTTGTCTCCTGAATTCACGGAAGTTGTCTGTTGTCAGAAAATCCCACTGATAGAAAACCAACGCAGCGTTCCCCCTGTCAAATCACGTGTCATTAAACCCGGTATTTTCACCCGATACCACCAGAATGTCAATCAGAACCGAACACTACTCGGACCGGACACCTTCTTTACCCTAGATCTAGTCCAAGGAGCAGCTCCAGTTCTCTCCATATCACAGTTCACATCACAACATGAGGTGTGCTGTGCTAGTCTCCTCATGCCATGTGATCTGGCCAACATAAACAGAGGTAGTTTACTGACCATGGAGACTCCCGCGTTTGACGTGGATAAGTTAGTCGGGAAACCCTTCCCGTGGTGCGAAGCTGGAATTAGGAACAGTTACTCAGGAGTCCAGAGGGTCAGGCACTGGCCTAAATTGTATAAAGCAGCTTATTTTGATGTGGCTAATACGGTTTTTATAGTTTTGTTTGATGGGCGAACTATTGGATGCTTCTTTTCAGATGGCACATTTGATATGCTAGAGCGATTCGATTTTGTTTGAGGCATATTTTAGATTTTATTTGATATTTACAACTTTAAAGTTTACTAATTATTTGACATATTATCATATCATTGATTGTTTCACAGTATTTGACGAATAGAAATACAGAGAATGCAGAGTTGTTTGAATTATAATTTAAGTATAGATATCAATAATGAATAATCCCCATGCAAATAAAACAAAATGTTGAGCTGTTTTAGAAAAAAAAGACTCAAGAATAATTTACACAAAACATCGTTTTATCATGAATCTAGTTCTACAGCTCTCCAATATCATTTAAAGAAAATTAAGCAAATACTATAGCATATTGGCGCCAAATTCAGAAGTCATCAGCTCAAAGCTTCAACCTACATATCAACATTACAGTGTCCTCAACAATCTTCATATCCACTCAACTTTATTCAACTGCCACCACAGTACCTTACAAGAGAGTCACCTAGACCCCTGCTACCTGCACCAACTCTAAGCGTTCTTATGCTTAGCAACAGCAGCAGAAATCTTACCCTGGGCCCCACCCTCAATGGTCTCGATACACTGTCCGTACTTGTAAAACTTGATAGTCGGCAGCTTCTTTATCTTGGCCCAGTTCGCCACCTCAGTTGTTTCCTCCACATCTACCTCGTAGAAATCACACTGCTTGTTCTTCTCTGCTAGAGTGTAGAAAAAAGGAGCCAGAACTATGCAGTCTCCGCATGAAGCAGCCCAGAAGTCCACCACTACTATCTTACTTCCTTTATAGTGGAGCACGTGCTTTTCAAACTCCTTCCACGATTCAAGAGGGACAGCCATGATGATGATGAGGGTACAACAAACTTCAGCGTAACTTACAAATGTAACGAACAGGGGCACGTACAAACTGGTATGTAATAATAATAGGCCAGTAAAGCCAGTAAAGGTATTTGGAGTGTAACTGTTAGGAATGTAATGCTGAAGTTGCAATATATCCACTAATACCAATGTGAAGCCACACACTTAAACATAGCTTATTATGTAAGTTAACAGCTGTGTCATGTGTGATAAGGTAGGTTAACCAGGTGTTATGTAAAACGAAGCTTTCCGATTGCTCGATTTTAAAATAGAATTCACAACTTGGCCTGCCAGTATCGGAAAATATTACACGAAATTCAATTACCGTTAACCTGCAGACAATAATATTCGACATTCGTCAGGCCTAATTCGATAGGTGGCAGATTATCAAAGGGCTACAGTGTGTTTTCAGTAGAAATTTCTTGTGGAATGTCTTGTTGAAAGGTGCAGTTACAGTTAAAGCACCAAGCAGGATTTCTGCTTCTGCTTCAAATATTTGCAACTACAAAGACTAAAGTTTTAATACCCTTTTTATGATTCTGGTTGAAAATGTAGGAGGTTTAATAAGGCTGAGCTGAAAAGTCACAATAAAGTTTTAAAAGGCAAAGTGGTGTAATTTTGGCTGTTTGTAGCCCGTGCGAAAAAGCCGTCACCTCGAAGTTATTATCCAGCTGGCAATGCCATGACTTCCCCCGAAATAATATCATGATTTCATACCAGCTACCTTATGTGTCGACTTTCCCCAAAACCAAAATTAGATTTATATTTGATGATGCAAAATAAGTTTAAAACACCATATTTAACACTTGAGCTACAAAATATTACAATTTGAAAGCGTAAATATCATTAAATATATTCCCCAGAAGATCCATACCGCCGAATAAGACCAAAACGTCCTGGTACCCTGATACAGGAAGCTCGGGGCTACTATCTGGCAGCGGGGCTGTCTCCTCTGCTGCTTGGTGCAGCATAGACGTGATGTCTTGGAAAGGTGGCGGTTCTTGTGCTCTTGCGTCTTCTGATTCTTGTTTATTTTCTGTGGAGTTCAGGGGTTATGATAATATTACAGTAGTTATAATAGTTATAGTTATAGTAGTGATCATCCGTAACGGATAATTATAATAATTCAGTGACAGTTACCGATAAATAATGGGTTTTGGTTAAAAGATCAAAGATAATCTAAAACTAAAAGTAACCGTACCAAGGCCCAGACTTCAAGTCTTAGCTAAACGATTCGACAACTTGAGTAATAAGGCCTATAATATCTTGATTCTTGATATCAAGTACTGGTGAATCATTAAGAAACCATGACAAATATGCAACGGACATATTTGTATAATTCATAAAATCAATCATTCGTAAATAATTTGTGACTGAATGCAACGGAGGGATGGCCATGCAAAACTCGATTCCTTTTGCAGAATCTTTTGCACTGTCTCGCAAAACCGCCATTATCATAATTTTCATCAGACTCACATCTGACTTCCGAGCACAGTATTTCTAATTTTATAATCGTACCTTGATTTTCGTCAAATGGCAGTCTAGCCGTGCAGATTGTCAGGTCTAATCTCGGAGGTGGGCGGGGCTCCTGTACTATTATTTCACTCCAGAGTCCGTTATCTGAAATACGTGTCAAATTGTTAAACGCCGGGGCCGAGATTACGGAAATAAATCGACATAATATTTGTTCATAGTCGTGAAGGACACAGCCACTTATGATTATGTTATACGAGCCAGTGCAGGCAGGTACAGCATAAAATAAAATCAGATTATCATAATCACCGTCTAAAATGTTTTTTTTCCCGTCGCAGCCAATTGTAAGGATATCTAAAAATATATCAAAAACGTCAAAAATATGCCTGCTATCGGCTGCTATCGCTTAATAATACACTGACTATTATTCAACAGACTCGCACTGAGATCAATAAGATGTTTAAAAAGATTCAAAATCAAAATAAGGGTTAACAAAACTAAAAGTACAGAAATAATCAGTTTTTATCAGTACAACAAGATGTTATCATCCTACCTGTGTCATATCTCCAGAGGTCGTCCAATGCATGCTGCCCGGTGAAACCTCCGAATATAAAGAACAATTTCTCATGCACTGTGGAACTGTGTGCTGCACGTGCCACTGGTTGTCTATCTGAACTTGCGTGCTTCATCCATACGCACTGGGACTTTAACTTTGATATGTCTGAAACGATAAGGGAATAAAATACTCCTAGAACTGATTTTGGTCTAGACTCTATATAAGAGAAATGCTGTAGATTTTTCTTTGATTTCAAAACAGCTCTTTGTTTTATTGGTCGAATGTTTTGTATGAAGGTATGAGCATTGTAGCTGTTAGAAAATGATCATTGTCCGTCTCTGAAAATTAGAAAATTTGCAAAACAGTTTACTGCAATAAATCAAATTTTCCGTTTCATAAACTAATCAAGAACATCAACAATAACATCCTGGCAAAAAGGATAATATTATCGGAAGGAATTTGTTTTGCAAAAAAAGCTGCACAGGTGCGAAATATCCGCATTCGTAATTAATAAATCAATTAAATAATTACCATAAAGCCACGTATATCAACAGTACTAGAATCAGGTACTACTTAATGGGTGGTACTCGTAAAATATTTGTTCCAAATATTAGACCGACCGTCGACGAGTCCAACTGGGCGCGCGTCTTGGTAGGTTATAAACAAGAATCAGGTACTACCTGAGGAATACAGGTCACCCAGAATGTTCTCTCCCTCCATACCCCCGTGCAGATAGAGTCTATCTTTCACGCAGCATATCACGTGACCGTGTCTTGGGCCTGGAACTTCTCCGGTGCTTTCGTACTTGCTCCACTCTCGGCTCCCTGGTGATAAAGGGACGGTTATGTTGAGCTGTATGTTGAGAACTGAGAAGGTTATTCAATTTAATAACAGCAAACTTGTGGATCATGTACCGAACTGAGTATAGAGTAAATTAAATTTATTAATAAAATCTGTCTACGTCAATGAAAGATAATTAATTCGATATTGATTATTAATTTATAATAATATCAATTATCATTACAAACATGTTTTTAATCATGAATGCTCCTCATTTAGCTCTCCTCAATATGATTTGTAAATTACTTTTTTTTCCGTACTTGTACTATGTGATCTGCAAACTTTAAGTATTAGAAGATGCAACTTCACTAATATCTATAATAATGATCAATTTTACTGCATTCTATCAGTAAGATAATTTGATCTAGTTTGCAGTTTGAAATCTGCAAGCTTAAACTCTATTATTATAAAGTTAATTTGATTTTCTTTAGCTGAACTTAATTGAAGGACTAGTATCAAACTTGTCTTACACAGCCCGGGCCCAGGGCCCGGGCTGCTTTGCGCTCGTGTCAGGCCAGACATCATTTGGCATTACAAATTACAAACAGCAAAATTCAAAAATAGACATAAATTATTGCGATTATCCCAATATCGCTAATTATAATATGGGTATAATTTCAGTAACTCAAACAATCTAAGATATAAAAATGGTGCTGATTCGATCGAATCAGGGTCAAAAGATGATACTAACCAGCAATTCAAAGTAATAACCGCGATATTCATATATTACATTGAAGCTGATAAAAAGATACATTTAGCCTAAATGTAGGGTACAGTGGTGAATGGATGAATGAAGCTACTTGCCATAATAACCAAAAGTAACCAAAAGTAACCACAAGTACCCACAAGTAACCACAAGTACCCACAAGTAACCAAAAGTAACCAAAAGTAACCAAAAATAACCACAAGTAACCACAAGTACCCACAAGTAACCACAGGTACCCAGAAGTAACCAAAAGTAACCACAAACCGAGATTAAGAGAGTGTATCGCTGAATCCTGGACGGGAGTAGCACCTGTATCACCGCCTCCCCACACCAGCACACGACCCTCACTAACACCCATGTTGTGAATTGTCCGGGGAGAAGGGGCGTCTACTGCTGGAACATCCGTTACACTACCGTCAACTGTAACAGGGGGTTTATAGATTAGCAGTTGCACTACTGTCAACTGTAACAGGGGGTTTATAGATTAGCAGTTACACTACCGTCAACTGTAACAGGGGGTTTATAGATTAGCAGTTACACTACTGTCAACTGTAACATGGGGTTTATAAATTAGTAGTTTCACTACCGTCAACTGTAACAGGGGGTTTATAGATTAGCAGTTACACTACCGTCAACTGTAACAGGGGGTTTATAGATTAGCAGTTACACTACCGTCAACTGTAACAGGGGGTTTATAGATTAGCAGTTACACTACCGTCAACTGTAACAGGGGGTTTACAGATAAGCAGTTACACTACCGTCAACTGTAACAGGGGGTTTATAGATTAGCAGTTACACTACCGTCAACTGTAACAGGGGGTTTATAGATTAGCAGTTACACTACCGTCAACTGTAACAGGGGGTTTATAGATTAGCAGTTACACTACCGTCAACTGTAACAGGGGGTTTACAGATAAGCAGTTACACTACCGTCAACTGTAACAGGGGGTTTATAGATTAGCAGTTACACTACCGTCAACTGTAACAGGGGGTTTATAGATTAGCAGTTACACTACCGTCAACTGTAACAGGGGGTTTATAGATAAGCAGTTACACTACCGTCAACTGTAACAGGGGGTTTATAGATAAGCAGTTACACTACCGTCAACTGTAACAGGGGGTTTATAGATTAGCAGTTACACTACCGTCAACTGTAACAGGGGGTTTATAGATTAGCAGTTACACTACTGTCAACTGTAACAGGGGGTTTATAGATTAGCAGTTACACTACCGTCAACTGTAACAGGGGGTTTATAGATTAGCAGTTGCACTACTGTCAACTGTAACAGGGGGTTTATAGATTAGCAGTTACACTACCGTCAACTGTAACAGGGGGTTTACAGATAAGCAGTTACACTACCGTCAACTGTAACAGGGGGTTTATAGATTAGCAGTTACACTACCGTCAACTGTAACAGGGGGTTTATAGATTAGCAGTTACACTACCGTCAACTGTAACAGGGGGTTTATAGATTAGCAGTTATACTACCGTCAACTGTAACAGGGGGTTTATAGATTAGCAGTTACACTACCGTCAACTGTAACAGGGGGTTTATAGATTAGCAGTTACACTACCGTCAACTGTAACAGGGGGTTTATAGATTAGCAGTTACACTACCGTCAACTGTAACAGGGGGTTTATAGATTAGCAGTTACACTACCGTCAACTGTAACAGGGGGTTTATAGATTAGCAGTTACACTACTGTAAACTGTAACAGGGGGTTTATAGATTAGCATGGCAGTTACACTACCGTCAACTGTAACAGGGGGTTTATAGATAAGCAGTTGCACTACCGTCAACTGTAACAGGGGGTTTATAGATTAGCAGTTACACTACTGTCAACTGTAACAGGGGGTTTATAGATTAGCAGTTACACTACCGTCAACTGTAACAGGGGGTTTACAGATAAGCAGTTACACTACCGTCAACTGTAACAGGGGGTTTATAGATAAGCAGTTACGCTACCGTCAACTGTAACAGGGGGTTTATAGATAAGAAGTTGCACTACCGTCAACTGTAACAGGGGGTTTATAGATTAGCAGTTACACTACCGTCAACTGTAACAGGGGGTTTATAGATTAGCAGTTGCACTACCGTCAACTGTAACAGGGGGTTTATAGATAAGCAGTTACGCTACCGTCAACTGTAACAGGGGGTTTATAGATAAGCAGTTGCACTACCCTCAACTGTAACAGGGGGTTTATAGATTAGCAGTTACACTACCGTCAACTGTAACAGGGGGTTTATAGATAAGCAGTTACACTACCGTCAACTGTAACATGGGGTTTGTATATTGCAGTTTATTTTATATTATGATACGACGTGAAGTTAACATTAAAACGAATATAGAAACCGATTGTGTAGCGTTGAAAGTGCCAACAATTACCTAAGTAATTACCATTCTGCCAACAATTACCTAAGTTCAGTTTCTGCAGATCGTTCCTATTCCCAGAAGTGTCAGCTCCACCGAACACTAGAACCTCGTTGTCATGGACCACAGCCACGTGCTCGTAACGGCCCCCGAACTCTCCTTGCAACTTGGCTAGTCCAAACGTGTCTGAAAATATCATGGACGGTTAGTTTAGTTGTGTGGAGGAAAAATCTGCTTACTTTATAAATATAAGGATTGTTTTTATAAATCACGCAAGGTTTATTTGGTACGTGGCCAACGTTTATTTGGCCACACGTCCTGTGATTACCGTCATCGATTAAACAATGAGGCAAGAGACTTATAAGTGTTTCCTTTTTTCAATAACAAAATCGTAGAAGAAAAATGATTTATTGAAAAACCCACAGAATATTTATGGTTTTAATGAAGAGATAATGTCTTAGATTTATACTTTAAGGATGAAGGAAGAAACACAATTACGAATATTTGAACTAAAAATCGAATTATAAAAATAGAATTAGCATTGTATTGCAGGAATATTCGTTCTCAAAAGTTTTAAATTCTTCAAAATATCTTGACATGATTCAGGGTATTAGTAATTGTAAATGTAGGGTATTTTTTCCACAAAAAAAGATCGGACAATCTTCTTCCTATTAATAGCAACTAGGAAAACATAACAAAAAACAAAATTTAAATTAAGGTAACATATTCGATCTGATATGTTTTTCATTATTAATATTATGATAATATTAGATTAATATTCCCATTTGTAAATTAGAAAGACACGTGCAGTGTTTTGGGTCACTTGGAAACATAATTTCTTTCTCTTCTGCAGAATGCAGATCTTAGATACCATATTGTGTTTAATAGTAAGGTGTTTGTGATTCAGAGTGGGTTGCAGATGCCGTAAATCTCGTTTCTTTGTCAATTTTGGGTCTCCCACGGATATAGCAACCCTCCATATGTCTGAATGTTATCCGGTCCAAATCTGCATCTCCAAGTGCTCGACACTTTCGTGGCAAGCCAGGTTTTCTACGATTAACATCACCATGGTTAAAGTTTTGCTCGTACTGAAGTTCTCCGTTACATGTCAGTTCAAGGTGATCCTCGAAAAATGTCCATGCCCAGATCTGCTCCTTCTTTCCTCCGGCGGGAAAGCTCCCGTAGGCCTCGTATCTGGCGTCGCACTCTTCAATAGCAATATCCCGTCCCTCGTCGTATTTGATGGTATTCCACACCACACGGCCGACTTTCTTGCTCCAGTGTCCAGCGTGCAGTAACATCATCATAGTAGTGGCCTTATCCGTTCTGAAAAGTTCGCCATACGATGGGTTTGTATCGTACTCATCAGGAAGGAATGCTTTGACTTCCAGGGTGTAGTCTCTTAGAGGAAACATGACCCTCTCCTCGTTCTGCGTCAGAAGTCTCCATGTGGTTAAGGAAGGGTTTAAAACAGCAGAGAGGGCTGTACCAAGAAGCGCCATTGCAACCAGGACAAACATTGTTTGACGGATTGGTTCTGTGGTAAATTAACTTTAAGTGAACTTATCTTTGAGATCTAGTTTAATGGTAAAGATTTTAGATAAATTATTTTATGGAATATAGCTGAGTCAGCCATGAGCCGCGTTACAACGTTTTAATTAACCATCTATTGAAATTGTAGATATAAGAAACGCAGCAAAACTTTTGCAAACTAAAATTTCCCAAGAAATTGTAACGATAGTGGATAGCGTTAAAAAGCTAATATATTCAACAAAACAACAACTAGAAAATGGGTTCAAGAGCATCAATGTAACTTTGCAGCGATTTAGTTATTGTGTCCGAAGTGCAAAGTAAATTTACATTTTTTATAAAAATTCAAAAATATTTATCTGAGTACGACGTTCCTTAATTGTATAATTTCAAATCAGAATTTAATCGTATTGTTAAATAACATATAGAATATTCTCTTCTTAAAAGATAAGCATGTCTAGCAAGATTCATGGAGTAAGAATCGTCGGAATTCTTTCCTAAATACAACGAATAATATTTATATGAGATGAAAGACTTCGAAAGTCCTCGTACTAGAAGACATATTTTTCGGAAACAATCACACGCTCCTCAAGACGACATGAAGCCCCTCTCCCCCTGTCAGCTAAAATTCTTGCCAGACGCTGCCCGAGCCATCATCTTTCCGTAGCCGGGCCGGCGGAGGGTGCAAGCGAAGCCGTACAATAAAATTAAAGATTACCCTTTACCTTTACTTTTAGTCCTATTATTATATTTTGCAGGAGGACTGCAGGGTGCAGAACCAACCCGTCACAAGTTGTCCAAGTTCGGCATTGTCGTTTAGTCCTGACTGAGCTCGAAGGGTGCCCACAAAATTCATGGCTGGTCTTTGTCACAGCTCATTTCGTGATTGTCCAAGATAAGAGGTAATTAGCAGATTATTCTGAATGGCCAGCTTGTCGCATAATTCGGTTAATCGTCGCCATTGGCAGTTTATCATAAAGGATTCAGATTCATATACGAATTCAGGGCTTAGCTATAATTACAGCCATGACTAAGAGTGTAATGTCAAGTCATACTCATAGTAGATTTATTTTTGTCTGATTTCCACTGAGAGCTATCTTGTATTAGTATAATAACCTTAGAGAAGAATTTGGCGAAAATTTTATTACAAAAAAAAGAAGAAAAATACACAAATTGGGAACTTTGAAATTAATTCTACAAAAACCAAAGGCAGAAACAGTCTTTAAAAATAAAATTATATTATGCTTAAGAATTTTCTGTTCAAAAACTTTTAAATTCATCAAACAATCACACATAATCGTGTAACAAAACTAACGATATGACTGATCGTTTTATAGAATTTCATCAATTATAGTTAGAAATATTCCTAGAAATATTCGTTAACGTGCATGAAAGTGGTGAAGAAAGCCAGTTCTATTTTGCTTGCAGATACAATGTTCAATATTTTTAAGAGTTTCGGCGAGTAGTCAATCTGAGATGTAGTCAATCTGAGATCACATTAGAGGACAAGTTCCGGAACAGTCTGGTGTTATTCTCGCTCCAGCCACCATATCTGATCTCGAATAACTAAACGTACTCTCACAGGTCATATCGGAGAAAGCAAATCTGTCGATCTTTGAGTATATGTCGGCGCATTCCCCCTTCAATGTGTTGGAGTACAAAGTATGTCCACCAATACCGAGCGTCAGTGTTAGTACCCCATCAATCCTGTCCATATTGAAATACCAAAACTCGGAATTTCCAGGTTTGATACTTCGGATAGCTGGAGGTGACTGGCAGCTGATACAACCGGTCAGATGGATGCTATGCAGGTTCCACTCGAAAAGTCCAAGAGTATTTCCTCCTTCATCGTACAGCACAATCGAGTTCAATATCCTCCATCCTAGCTTAGACTGGACTGCGATCCCTTCGTAACCATTGATAAGATCATATTGGACTGTGCATTCCAGGTTGGAGCAGTAGTTGCATTCTTTAGTCCAGCAATCACACATGCGACGTTCTTCAATATGGGCTCCTGGTGTTGTAGCTTCTGGTTGTGTTGTAGGTTCTGGTTGTGTTGTAGCTTTAGGTGGAGTAGTAGGTTCTGGTTGTGTTGTAGCTTTAGGTGGTGTTGTGAGTTCTGGTTCCTTCACTTCCTTGGGTCGTGCCCGGATGTACTCACCTGCCATGTGCCTGAACGTGATCCTGTCCACATCAACAGCTCCGAGAGCTGCGCATTTCTCTGGCAAACCCGGCTTGTCCCGATGATCTTCACCTTCATCCCATCTTTGCTGGTATTGCATATCTCCATTACACGTCAGTTCCACGTGGTCCTCAAAGAAGTTCCACGCCCATATCTGCTCCTTCTCTCCATTAGCCGGCCAACTATAGTAGGCCTCGTATCTGGCGTCGCACTCTTCAATAGCAATATCACGTCCCTCGTCGTATTTGATGGTATTCCACGTCACACGTCCCACTTGGTTTTTCCAATTTCCAGCGTGCAGAAGCATCATCATGGTTGTTATCTTCCACACCGCAAACCGTTCGGTATACGATGGGTTGGTGTTGTAGTAATCAGGACGGAATGCTTTTACTTCCAAGATGTAGTCTCTCAATGGGAACTTTACTTTTTCCAAGTCTGTTTTAAGGAGTCTCCATTCGGTGAGAGACGGGTCGATTTCAGCTGAGAAAGCAGTGCCGAGCAGTGCCACCACAATTAGAACCACAACAAACATTTTTCTGAGGACAGAAAACACAACTTGAGCAGAAATATTAATTGTGATTGCTATATCGGTGTACTTTATATTCGAATTTAATCTAATTTGCATTAATTTGTCGCGAGTGCATGTTTACTGTTTAGCTTATGGATTGAGCCAGAGATTACCGGTATTCTCTCAAAGATTCAATCTTTTAATAGCCATTCAATTCAATGTCACGTCTGATATGAAATATCACGTAAGAATCACGGCCACAATAAGAACATTTATTTGTAATTGTCACGAACCCGTACCGAAACATTTTGTAAGCGACTCATGCCTTCTTATTTTATATTACGTCATAAAAGCAGCCTAGATATACCCTGGTCATTAGGAAAGTTCGCACGAGATGGATCACGTTAGAAGATTGTCACAGGAAGAACTTTTAAGATAGGATATGATATTTCGCATGTCTATAGTTCAACTAATTGAGTTTCGATTTATAAAAGTACAAGACAATTATAACCCCCTAGATTAGGATTTCGAAGAAAGGACCCGCAAATTCTGCAGAGCAATTATGGCCGGAACCAACCCACCACAAGTTGTCCAAGTTCGACATTATCGTTTAGTCCTGACTCAGCTGGAAGTGTACCCACGAAATTCATGGCTGGTCCTTCTCAGAGCTCATTCCGTGATTGCCCAAGATAAGAGCCAGGAGGTAATTAGCAGATTGTTCTAGCAGTTTACCATAGAGGTTTTAGATAAGAATCAAGGGCCTAGCTATAACATCTATTCAGGCGCTTCTCCTATGACTCAAGATGTTTTGGTAAGCCATAATAGGTATAAGAAGTCATTTTTCTTTGATTTATTTAATTGTCTAATTTCCATCAAGTGCTATTTTGTAATGACCTTGCACTTTTCGAAAAGGTTTTGGCGAAAATGTTCTTTATTACATGAAAATAAGCAAGATACGCAAATTGGGAATTTTAAAATTAATTTTTACAAAAACCAGAAACAGTTTTTTTAAATGAACTTTAATATTTTCGGTTCTTTAATATTTTCTGTTCAAACACTTTCAAATTCATCAAACAATCACACATTATTGTTTAAAATAGACTATGACTGATTATTTTATAATTATAGAACTTTATTTATTATAGTTGAACTTGATATTACTCCTGAAAATAAACATACTAAGAGGTGGGTCACGACGAAGTTCTATCTTATTTGCAGATATAATGTTCTATATTTTCGGAGTTTCGGCGAGTAATAAATCTGAGATGTAGTAAATCTGAGATTTAGTCAATCTGAGATTTAGTCAATCTGAGATCACATTAGAGGACAAGCTCCGGAACAGTCTGGTGTTATTCTAGCTCCAGCCACCATATCTGCTTTCGAATAACTAAACGTATTCTCACATGTCATGTCGAAGAAAGCAAATCTGTCGATCTTTGAGTACCTCTCAGCACATTCTCCGACCAGTTCATTCTCGTACACAACAGATCCACCATAACTGAGCTGCAACGTCAGAACCCCGTCAATCATGTCCAGAGAGAAAACCCACAGATCTACAGTGCCAGGTTCGATACTTCGTATAGCAGGAGGTGACTGACAGCTGACACAGCCGGTCAGAAGAATCTTTTTTAGATTCCACTGGAACATTCCAAGAGTATTTCCCTCTTCATCATACAGCACGACCGAGTTCAATATTCTCCAGCCGAGTTTAGACGTAACCTGGATCCCTAGGACATCCCCGATCAGGTCATGTTGGACAGTACATTCCATATTGGCGCAGTAGTTACATTCTGATGTCCAGCAGTCGCAGGTGGGATAAAGTTCAGCGAATTTGTTATCATCAGGTAGTCCAGCATCTTCAGTCGAAGTGACTGGAGCTGGTTTTGTTGTAACTTCTGGTTGTGTTGTAGGTTGTGGTTGTGTTGTAGCTTTAGGTGGAGTAGTAGGTTCTGGTTGTGTTGTAGCTTTAGGTGGAGTAGTAAGTTCTGGTTCCTTCACTTCCTTGGGTCGTGCCCGGATGTACTCACCTGCCATGTGCCTGAACATGATCCTGTCCACATCAACAGCTCCGAGAGATGCGCATTTCTCTGGCAAGCCCGGCTTGGCCCGATGATCTTCGCCTTCATCCCATCTTTGCTGGTATTGCATATCTCCATTACACGTCAGTTCCACGTGGTCCTCAAAGAAGTTCCACGCCCATATCTGCTCCTTCTCTCCATTAGCCGGCCAACTATAGTAGGCCTCGTATCTGGCGTCGCACTCTTCAATAGCAATATCACGTTCCTCGTCGTATTTGATGGTATTCCACGTCAC